TGCAATGTGACACTAACTCTTTCGTTTTCTAAGGAAGGAAAATGTTTTTTTAAATGTGTTTTATATTTTTTTCTAAAAAACCACCAAAACTGTTACCATATGAAAGGTTTATAATTTATAGGATTGCTTCCTGTGTGGTGCCCAGCAAAGTTGCACATGGAAGAGGTTGGGTGTGCCACCTGAGCTCCGCCTGGCCCTTTGCTTGTCCACCCCCCGCTCCTGTCTCTGGGATCAGCCTTGTCTTTTGTATTGGCGTGATGTGTTTAGAAAAGGTATTTTGGGGAGGGGAGGATGTTTTCACCACCTTTATATAGAAGCCTAGCAAATGATGGGGAAGGGGAAGGGGGCAGAGGGCTGGCTCACCACTTGAGGGTCTTCCTCTTTCTGGTCTGAGGTGACCCCTTCTCTAGTCTCTTTCTCCCAACTGTAGGAAAAAGCAGTTGTGGTTGTTGTAGCCATTACACAGTTAACCCCGTGATACACCATGTTATGTGTGTACACACACAAATGCACACCCGTGTTGAACTCTGTGAAACCATTAAACAAGTATGTAGCTCCAGCGTCTCCCGTGCCGTGTTGGAGGTTGCGCCGCTCCCCCCGTCCTCGATGCCCCTTTCAAAGCTGCTGAGCCGTGCTGGGCAGGAGGGGAGGGGAGGGGAGGGAAGGCTGCCCGTGAGGGACACCTGTGGGGCCCAGCCCCACCACCTTGAGCTCCTGCTTTGGACTTGGGCCAGCGTTGCCATTGGTGTAAAATGGCTGTGGGCCCTTGCTGGGGGTGTCAGGCTTGGGTGTTTCCTTTTCGCATCTCTGGATTGGCTGTACGTGCATTCAGGCCGAGCCTGGCAGCTGCAGAAAGAAGAAGGGGTCCCGGAAGTGCAATCTGGCGCCCTTGCCCAGGAATGCAGTGGGCGTTTGAGTCCTGCAGGAGGGGATCCAAGGAAGGGACTCTCTTCCTGCAATTCCTCCGCGCACCGTGGCTCATGCATCACCGTGGGGAGTTGGAGGGATGTGGGTTTTCCTACAGGGGTGCAGCTTTGCTATGTGCCACCCTCAGAATACCCAGAGACCGAGGCTCTGCCCTCTGCGTGCCAAAAGGAGCACTCTGCTCAGAGATCCAGCGGGTGTGTTGTCAGCCAGGGCGGCCCACCAGGAGCATCCAGAGGCCTGAGACTGCGAGGGGCCGGGGCCGGCCGGGGCCCCCATGAAGCCATGGCGAGCCCACCACGGCTCGAGGGGGCTGTCCTCGTGTGCTGAGGGAGGGGGGTAGGGGCTGGGGTAGACTGCAACCTGCCTGGGAGGCAGCAAGAGGGACCTCACCAGACACCAAGCAGGGCTCTGGCTCAGGCAGGGCTTCTCTGCTCTTGCACCCAGGAAGCGCCAACGGCCCTCTTTAAAATGGCTTGGACCCTCTGGGGAGGCTGGGCTGAAAGTGGCCCCTGCCAGAGACGCTCAGGTCCTCTTGGAGTGGGGCGTGGATTGGCAGGCCCTGCGGGGTGGCTGGGAGGCTATTAAGAACCGATCCACAAACCACCAGGGAGGCTGGGTCAGGGCAGTGGGCAGAGAAAGGGGGCTCCTGCTGAAGACTTCGTTTTTTAAAGGAAGAGCTGTGGTTTAGGAAGGGGATCTGCCGCCTTCAGGGCTGACTGCATTCTTCCCCCAGGCTCTGACTGGAGGGCAGATTCCTGCAAGAGATGCGGCCGTCTTCCCCTCTGCATCCCCCCCTTGATCAGCTGGCTCTGTTGCTATTGGTTGCACAAAAGGGAGGATCAAGGGATGGAGTAGAAGTGTTGTCATGGCAACTGCCTGGAAAAGATACCGTTTGCGAAGCATCTCTGGTGCATAAACCAAAACCTGGAGGACCCCCCAGGAAAGGAAGCCCAAGGGCTGCATCTCAGTCAGGCTGCTGGCCCAAGCAGGATTTGGGGAGACGCGCTTCAGCCCGGTCCCAAACGGCGCCGGCCCTGCGGATGGCCTGTAAGAACGGGGGCAGCTAGGCCAGGCTTTGGCAACGGGCCCCGGCCGAGGGGCGCCTCAGCGGTCCTCCGGCTTCCCGGCGCGCTGCCCTCCCGTCCCGGCGAGGGCCTGGCAGGCGCTTCGGGGAGCGCGGCTTTTCTGCGGAGACCCTTTGTGAACCGATGCCGGGGGGCAGCGGGAGACCCCTCCGCCATCCCGCGGGGGCGGGGCAGCCTTCCCTGGGGACTCCGGGCGGTGACGGTCCCCGCAGAAAC